GAATTGTGGAAAAGTGCATTAAGTAGAAATTATTCAATATGTGGGTATAAACTTTTGGAGCTCCAGGGTCTACGCCAATAAGAAAGTTAGATTTTTTGTGTGGAATAAAACGAGTCCATACCTGTTCAGCGACAGGAGAAATGAAAAAGTGGGCAGCGCTGCCGCACAAAATCCTGCTGCCGCTCCGTCTTCAGACAGCCGTAAAATCGTGGTTCGAGTAGATCTCTGTGCAGAGAGCGCGAGTTTTCGGTGTTCACAGGAAAAGTGCAGTTTTCCGATTAAAAGTCGCTTTTCAGTGTGATGCTGACAAAGAGAAGGGCTGTTTTTGGACAGGCCGTCGATCTGCCAGACCCCGATCGTGCCATTTGAATTGCACGCGAAATTATTGGAGAAATTTGCGGGCCTTAACAGCGCCAGGTAAGCAACCGACAACTAAAATGAGCAGTTTTGCTATTAGTTCAGGTCAATTTTCCTGAAAAGGAGTGAGAAAATTCAAAGTTTTCAACTTACCATTTCAAGGGCGCATTGCTGATGCATCTTGCACAAACACAGGTGTAACAACAAAGGACGCACACAGATACAGTTTTAACTCGAAAATGTGGTGTTTAAACCACATCAAGCACTACATTTCCAGTTTAAAAAATAATGCGGTCCAGACCTTGACATTTAAGATAAGTCAGTGATAACTCATCTTTGGCAGCAAATGTCAAAATTTGCATTTGTTTCTATCAGCATAATAAGAAGAAAAAAGATGGCCTCTAATTGCTCAAAGTAACTGACGCACTCCACGAGGCAACTTTCGAAAATTGTCATACCAGTTAACAAAATAAATTTTTTGACAATGAGTATTTATAGAAAAGTTGTATTTTTTACTTTTTGGGGCTAAAAATAGACTCTACTGTTGATTGAAGGAAACATAAACAAACATTTGCGTTTTATGTTATTATGAGCACATATTCAAACACCCGATAAAACGTGTAAATTTCCAGCTTGACCGATAATTGAATTAAATTTGCCACACAAAAAATTGCAATTTTGTTTATTACAAATTAAAATCAAATCCTGGGTTCTTGAAGAACCCAGGATTTGATTTTAATTTGGAATTGAAACACAGTCAGGAAAGTACGTACAATTTTGTTTATTGTGCACATCTACGCCCTACAACAATTTTATTGGGAAAATTAATTTTGTAAATGTCTGTGCTAAAAAAATGCGGACTGGGTTCATATAATATTAAAGGTATTTTTTTTTAGTTGAATATTTTTATCTTGAATTTATTTAAGTTCAACGCGCATCTGTGTATTCGGCGCGTCACCCAATAAATCAAGCCCAAAACTCTTCAAATCTTAAACAGACACCAAGATCTAAACCGATTTTTTGTCTATTAGCGCTATTGCTTTTGTTTCTTTCAGGCGTTTAGCCAAAATTCTATGTTGCTTATAGAAGATATCAAGGTTGCAAATGTTTACAGTCAACGAGCATTTCGGGACACTTCCAGATCTTGAATGCTATTTAGCTGAAAATAGAATGACACACGATTTATTTAGTGTGTGGCCACTTTAAAATCCTTTATAAACAGCGTGACAATGAATTTAAGTATCAAATGTTATTATCAATCGAACTGGGAAATAATAAAGCAGAGATTTAATTGTTTTTTGCAAATCTGTGTGGTGCACATTAGCGTCGGTTGATTATGAAAGACGCTAATAACACAAATAATTACAAGAATCTCTGGCTCATTTTCGGGCTTTGCGACTAATTAGTAGCAAGGAAGTAGCAAGTCATTGTAAATTATCCAGCGAATTTTTCGATTATTCACAGCATTCCACTGCTATTTTATGATCTACCGAAGAATTTTTAATTAATTGATTAACTAAATTGCGGGGTTTTTGCTTGATTTTTCCAATCCACATCGAAGCCTTTTAAGTACCTAATGCTCAAACTACTTCGGTCTGCTTCAAACACATGGTTTATTGTACTGTTGGAACATTCATCTATCAGTCCTGGAAAAACACGCCCTGTGTAATTGTTATCGATAACTAATAACAAAAGCTCCGGGTTTATATCCTTGTCTGGATTATTATTGTTGTTTCCTTTATGGTTATTTGAACAAGGGACATTTTAATTGGAATTTAATCTAGCATTGAAGCTGATGAAGCAATTTGATTGGGAGAGGAACTGAGCTAGAAGTCCGTGGCGTCTCACTCTCAGTGAATAGGGAGTGGAGGGTCACACATGACGATGTTCTAGTAGAAATTTGAAAACTTAAGTCTCAAGTAATTAAGGAAATTAACTGCAAACGACTGATTAAAATTCGTATGTAAATGGGTCAGCACGTGTAAAGCATCACGTACACATTCGGCACGCCCATAATTGAGTCCTAACGCCAGATGAAGCGATAATCTGCTGGACTTTAACTCACTTTCCTCACTTATGACCTTCTGGGTTTTTTGACTCCGCATCAAAGGCTCATAACTTGAGTATCTAGTCCAATTATTTGCTGCAATTTATTATTTTTAATATCTGAGTCCTTAACTCATTTATCAATTACCTGGCAATTACGAGTACAGTTCTTTGATCCAGGCCATAAACGGAGTCAATAGCGTAATTTTCAGATATTATTTATTGCCGCCAAGTGACGCATTTTGCAATAATTTTTTACTCTTTTGGAATAATGCATCGACTGAAATAATGCGCAAATACAACACGAGGATGCGATTAGCTTTACAAAGCGGAATTGTTCCATTGGAAGCCTATATGGAAATTGACCTTAAATCTGGTAGTAGCGCGGTTTACTTGGGCTTAAACTGAGAATAACTTTTGAAAAAATGGATCCGATTAGAACAGCCACTTCCTGATTATGCATGCAGGGAGCAGGGAGAGCATGCGACTCTCAGTTATTTCAAATATGCGCATGCATACCTTGAAACTACCTGCAATTTGCACTATTAGGAGCACAAAGTTGGCATTTGTTTAAACGTAAACACCTTTATATTTAGAAAGAACATTCGCAATGTACCGTTTTATTAATAAAGTCCAAGTTATACGTAGTGGCGTTGTGCGATTATAACGTTCTTCTATTAACTTCCACTCATTAGTATCGCTTGCATATTCATTATGCATTCATTATACTACTATTGAAATAGATTTTTTTAGATTTCCCCAACTTGTTTACCGCATTTGCTTCCTGCTTAACTGGGAAAAACATTAATCGAGCTCAATTAGTTTATATAATTTCATAAATTCTAATGCCTCACCTGATCAACCAAAGAGCGTCAACCGAACGTAGCGGTTTCCACAAACTTTAGCGTTTAAAAATGCATCACTCCCAACCTAGGGCCGATACCAGCTTGAATTTTCCACACCCTATAAAGTGCTGTTTCTGCTTCATTTTGACCAAATTTTATTGACATCTGGGGTTTAACTGATTTTTCTAAAGCAACTTTGGTTGTTGGTAAACGTCTAAACGCCGTGAAAATGACCCGAACACTTTGGAAAAAGGGCAGGCCCCAAACTAGTGCAAGCATCAACTTGAGTTTTTAGCACAGTGAAAAACAATGTTTGGGCTTTAAACAGACAAACTCTTATTTCCATCGGTGTTTCACTTGATTTTTTAGAAGCTGCTTTGCTTCTCGGAACATATCTAGGCCCAGTGAAATAGTCCGCAAATTTTAAAAATTGCCATCTCCCAAACTAGTACAAGTGCAAATCTGAAATTTGAGCACAATAAAACGAGGTATTTGAACTTTAAAATGGCAAAAATTCATTTGGATCCGGGCTTGGACTGATTTTCAGACGCTTCTTTACTGGAGGAGGTAAATTGCTAGACACGGCGAAACGGACGCGCGAACCTTAAAAATATCCCAACTAGCAAACCAGAACCAGTAACAACTTGAACGTTCCCAGTAACCTGGAAACTGGTGTTTAAGCTTCAAATTGGACAATTTTCATTTGAATCTGAGACTCGCCTGAATTTCTAGAAGCTATT